TCTTGTACTTATTTGGTATCTGGTCTACTTCATTTCTATGGTGGGATCTTGTCCTTTAATGCTATGAAATACTTGCAAAAAGTGGATAATGTTAAATGGTCCAAATGTCATGAAATCATACTGTTTGCATAAATGGTGAAATGGCATAGGGCACAGAAGATGCTTATTGTTGCAACACACAGAAATATGTCATGTGTCTTAACCAATTAATTTGCTTCCTGGTTAACAATAAAAACTTAAAATGGGTAGATCAGCATTTTTGAGAACATAGAATTTTTTCCCTCCTTCTTCTGTGTAGGTTCAGAAGCAGTGTATGGAGTTGAATGCCACCAGACCAAACCGGGCTGTTCCCCCAGTATTTGTCTCTCTGTACTATGAGAGCTTGTGTCCGGCCTGCAGAGTCTTCATCACCCAGCAGCTGTTCCCCACCTGGACGATGCTTCAGGACATCATGGCCGTCACTCTGGTGCCCTACGGGAATGCTAAGGCACGCAATCTTTATCAGCGGCACTTAAAGCAGAGAGATTTTACGTCATCACACAAATTCTTATACTGTGAATGTGGAAAAGACTTGTTTTTCTCTTGTAGGAGGTTTCGTCAGCAAATTCTCTCTTCACCTGTCAGCATGGCGAGCTCGAATGCAGAGGAAACTTAATTGAGGTTTGCATGTTTCCTCAACTCTATCTCTTGTCAGGTTTTATTTAATGTGTGATGACTTTGTTTGAACTGATGTGCTCCTCAGGCCTGTATCATCCATTTAACAAGACACTCAGCTCTTCAGATCATCAACTGCATGGAGTCTGCTGCAGATGTTCTCAATGCTGCACAGCCTGTGAGTATCTACAGACAGGGATCCTATAGTATTTGCATCATTTGGGTCATGACTGCTGTAAGAAATCTAAAGCAAATTAGCCATTATTGATTTTCTTTATTCAACATTTAATCAAAAATGGCTGAATTGTGAAAAATTTCTAGTTTTGAATTAAGTACATCATTTAAGTTCAACCTATAGACCAAAATCCAGAGAGAATTATTAAACTGAGTCTTGTCAGTAATACCGACTCTGTGTTGTCTGTCGTCTCAGTGCCTGCAGCTCTACGCTCCCTCTGTCTCCTGGTCGAGCGTGGACTCCTGTGTGAAAACTGGACAGGGATACCGGCTGATGCACGCCAACGCTGTCATGACCAGAGCTCTGAACCCGCCTCACACTCACGTCCCCTGGGTCACCTTTAACGGGGTAAAACACAAGTCAAACTCTTGACAACTTACATTAAGATAAAATACAGTGGTACGAAAAAGTCAGTAGTAATAAAGTTCTGTTTTAGATTTGTTGGCTGCAGTAGTATCACAGTTGTGATCTTATGTCAAAAAGAAATTATTTTGTTGCTCACATTGTACGAAACCCAGATAAAATTTTAATTGGACTCATGCATGAGCTCATTTTGGTGAGTTAAATCTCTGATAAACAGTCCTTCAGTGTCCTGGTCAATAATAAAATGGAGCAGATGAATAGAAAAGAAGGAATTCAAGGAAACATGTGAAACTACTTATGATGCCGGAAGCTCATTTAATTATCTTGTTTCTGTTGGTTGCAAATGATGGAGGAAATGTTTGTCTTGAATTCATTCCTTTGTATTGAATATTATGATGTGTATGAACTGTACTTGTGTATACCTACGGTACATATGTCCCAAGAATTGTTTTTGGTACAAAGAATGGGAAACAGCATCTGAATTAAGAGTTGCTGATGATGCTCTGTACACTTCACATGGTCTAAATAATAAACAGAAGTAAAAATTATAAAAAAATAAATGTTGCATTGCAGGAATACACAGAGGAGAACGAAGACAGGGCGATGTCGTCTCTTTTCCAATTGGTTTGTCAACTTTACAAGGTGAGGACTTGTTTTTTTTGTTTGCAAGTGCTGGTATAAATGTGTGAAATGTTTAGAAAAATGTTCTGACTAGTGTGAAAATTAAATATCTGCACATACTATAAAAACATGTCATTTTCTCAAAGTCAGCCCCGGAGTAAATCAATTTTGATTGTGTATATTTCTCCCATTATTGCTGACCTTTACAATATGGTGGTGCTATTGCTTTCTGCTGGGATGTGACTGTTCCTCTATAACATCTACAGGGGGTGAAGCCTCCAGCCTGCACTGGAGCCCAGGTCAGACTGAACAGAGGCTTCTGCTAAACTCAACAAACTCAACTATAATACTGCTGCCTGCATAAAAACATATCATAACATGCATAATGTACTAAGTAAAGCATTAAACTTATAAAGGACTGTTTAGTTTTTGTTAGAGAATGTTTGTAGTTGATGATAATGTATAGATGTGGGATTTTGTGTCTCTTATACTTTCATGGTAACAGGTTTGATAGTGGAATAAATTGGACTTGTCTTTCATGTTGCTCTTCTATATCAATTTGAAAAATGTTGCTCATTAGGATGACTACACAGAACAAAATAAATAATAAACAATTGATCTGGTATAAATTTCCATATAATTTATTGGCATTTTCCACTTGAAACACCCTGAACTCCAGAGACTCTTTTGGCTAAAAATGAGAAACAAAAATATATTCATTTTCCTTTGACAAACATTGGAGTGGCAGATGTATACATACGTAAAGTATACTTGATTAACAGGCTCCAGAACATAAACTTAAACGTCTTATGTTACAGTACTTTGTCTCGACAGAAATGTTTTGAAGAATAAATATCTTTATAGAAGTTTGCACGACACAGGCTGAGAAAACGAGACAGCATGAACATAAACGCCGGCAGCATCAGTGCGAGACTGAAAATGGAGCAGGAGCAGCAACTTTGCTGCTCATCAACACTTTTAACACTGCATGGCACTGAAGTCTTCCTGGAAAGAGCCACAGTGCCGAATTCAACATGCTGATGAAACGCCTCAGATCAGAGAGCTACACGCTCCACGTTCAGCTAAATGAAAATCTCTCTCACATGATGGAAAGTGTCTGTTCATATTCAATAGATTCCCCCTAAAAAAAGCTTCTCTGGTCAGTCACGGATGCTGTTGCTGATTGTGCCAAGACTGTGTGTAATACATATATTTTGTAAAGTTAAATTTCTATGTTACTGTTATTTTAGCTTCTTATTCCATCTTATCAAATATTGACAAATAGCCCAAAAAACCTTTAAGGTGTACAAGAAGTTTCCACTGCACACACAAAGAAATATTAAAGGACATTAGGTACAGTATCTCTGGTGTGTTAAAAAATTGATTAAAAATGAGACTACTGCATCACAAGGCAATTTGTTTTTAGACAGATTAAAATTTTACTTAATTTTTTCTAGCATAACCTGTAGTTCAGGCAAAAATAAAATGTTTCTAATCAGGCAGAAGAAATGGCCACATCTTTCAGGGCCACAACATTCTGACATTTCTGGTGTGCAAGTATAAACTTTGTCCAGATGATGGCACTAGAGATAAAGTCAGCGATGTAGCTGCTGATATCTAAATGGAATTCTCGTAGCACGCAGACATCTATGGTTAATTTTTGCCAAATAAAGTATGCAGTTA